AAGACGTGCAGCAGTGCGAAAGGCCGACACTCCCGAGAAAAAAAACTGTAAATCCTCCTAAACCGCCAAGCCCCTCTAAACCTTGTCAAGCCTCCATCCTGTGTGGAGTCTGTGTGGAGGGCCTGGATCCTACTACCCTAGATTACCCCCCCAAGCCCTAAACCCTGAACCCTAAATTCCCCCACCACCCCCTCCTCCTCAAGCCCGTCTGAGAACCGAGGATCCAAACAGCCACTGCCGGGCCTCGCTTCGCCTGCGGACGTCGGGTCGAGCAGCGCCTCCTTCGTGCAGGGGGTTTAGGGGTTTTGGGGCCAGGGTCTGGGTTTAGGGTTTTAGGGTTTAGGGTTTAGGGCTGTAGGTTTTTAGGGCTTTAGGGGTGGTTTAGGGTTTAGGGCTTCAGGGTTTAGGGTTTTAGGGTTTTAGGGTTTTGGGGTTTAGGGTTTTAGGGTTTAGGCTTTAGGCTTTTAGGGTTTAGGGGTCTGGGGTTCAGGGTCGAGGGCTTGTGAAGGTTCATTGCTCTTTACAGGACCCAGAGGCGTTGAGATTTCAGGGCTCTGTGGACGCCAGGTTCGGCTGCCGTTCGGCTCTGGTTTGCAAGATCTCCATCTTTCGCTAAACCCTGGACAAGAAATTCAGAAACTCTAGTCCCAAACCCCCCTGACCCGGGCACCCAGGTATGATGGTCGACAAGCCGGTATGTATCACTTGAAGGAGGCCATGGGTCACTTCACTTTGAAGCAATATGCCGGGCACTCGCACAAGCCGCAGAGCCGTGAAGGACAGACTTTTCGATCTGGGTACGCGTCGATGGTGAGCTGGATGGAGGCCATGGACATCAGTAGCTTCTTGGAGAATCAGACAGTTGTGCCTGTGTGCTATGGTGGTGTATTTCTGACCACGTACTCGCAGATCGCCAACCCACCTCCAGGCGTTTGGAAGCGGCTTGAAGAGTCCCTTTCGCGCGATGATAACATTGAGGAGGGCCATTATGCCGAAAGGTCCTGGGCAGCGCTGCTGTCCACGCCACTGACCTTGCAGCAAGAACTGGATGCCCTGCGCCGTGCACATTTAGTTGAAGACAAGTCCTGGTTCAGGGGCATGATCTTGGGTCCGCTGATTGAAACAACAACCGCCCCACTTCCAGAAGCGAAGCCTTCTGTCGCTCCTTCGGCCACGTGACGTGGGCCGCCTGTGGCGCTAGCTTGGGAGGCGAGGAGGGCCCGGCTGAAGTTGTCTTCTCAGGCATCATTCATGGACTGACACCTCCCCTCAAAGCACGAATGCTGTTGAAACGGAGCACTGCCAGAATTGATCGGCAGCGGAAGGACCAGATGAGGACTCGATGTTGGAAGCACTGAGGCCACCGTCGAAGCTTTGCCAGCTTTTCTTCACTGGCTGCAACGCTCGCGAGCCGCATAAGTGGCAAGGACACAGAGAAGGATGCTGGAAGTTGCGAGGTTTAGGGTTTAGGGTATAGGGAAGGTTCTTATGTGTATGCAAGCACATGTAGAGGCATGATTGTGTAGCCGAGAGCAGAGAAGGCCAGTGACATCTGCGAAGCTTATGCTTCAGCAATCCTTGCAAAGGAGGGACCTGAAACCCTGTAATCCCTAAACCCTAAACTCCACAGCCTAATCATAGGTCCACACTAGTTTAGCCTGGACTCTTGTTTGTAGTAAGTTTGTTACAGTACAGTAACCTTAATTCTTGTAGCAACCTTAAGATGGTACCTTTTAAAGACATCCTTGTTCTAGTACCCCTTAGACCCGTTGGTTCAGACGAGCTGGAAGCAACAGCAAAGGGCCGTCAACGGTTTGGGGCTTTCGGGACGCAGCGCCAAGGTTTCTGGAAGCACTTAGGTTTGGGGTTTAGAGTCTACCCATAGGCCCCTAAGTAGTTCCATTTTATGGTTTATGTTTAGAATCCTACAAGGTAATCCCAAAAAGGAGCTACTTAGGGGCCCATGGGTAGGTCTAGGAGTAGAGCCGGGTCTTGCAGGTTTAGGGTCCAGGGTTTTAGGGTTTTACTGGGGTAAAACCCGAGAGCCCAAACCCTGGATGCCAATTCTTTGCTTTAGGGCTCCTCATAACTATACTCTTGTATATGTAATTAATAATTATACCCAAGCCCTATGTTCCTGTCAGTGTTACTATAGCTCTCATGCTTTGCTTCAGGGTAGCCCATAAGCCTCGTACGTGAACCTTGGCTCGACAGGCAGCAAGATGGGCTCAGATTTCAGAAAGACGCTTACTCCAACACTCGACCCCAGATCGGATGGGAAATCTCGTCAAGTAGATGCGTATATACGTATGATCATATACGCATCAGTATAGTATGCACGCATGTAGGTAAGTATGGAGAGTGGTATATGTACTGCACAAAAACCCTTTTACACAGGTACACATGCACGCGAGACCTTTCGATCTATCTGCGGAGCCGGTTCATGGTGCATCAGAGCCAAGATTAGAAGGGTCATGTGGAGTTGCCATGGGCTCCTTCTGTTGGCAGCTGCGATACGTGGTGTTTATGCAGAGATCGCCTTAGGTGCGATCGCAGGCTGGACAATCGTCGACTCCGGAGAGCTCATAGCCACCATCGCAGCGATCATCGATTACCGAAAGAACTGGGATGCGTCTTTGGCTGCGCGGTTTGGCCCGCCTGTTGTAGACATCCCGGGTGGTGTTCATGAGGACGGGAGGAATGTGTCACTGCGCATCGGGACCTCGCACCTGCAGCCTGACGTGGGCTTCTGGGCTCTTGTGAAGGAACTCAAAGTCACTTCCTTCTGTGGTTCCCTTGTTATGGCGTGACGTATGTAGTTATAAGCGGGGATATAAGTCCCCTAATATAGGTTATAAGTATAGTTACCCTATGTTTAACCCCATTTATAACTACCCATGAACCCGAAATCCTAAGCCCTAAACCCTGAACCCTAAACCATAAGCCCTGAACCCTACACCCTAAACCCTGAACCCTAAGCCCTAAGCCCTAAACCTTACACCCTAAACCCTAGGCCCTAAACCCTAAACCCTAATGAACCCCCAATGAGTTTCCTTGACAAAGAGCCCAGGCTTGGCCACGGCCTTGGACATGATGCTAGGCCTCGATGGAGCACCTGAGGCTTCGAGATGAGTACTCCGTTTTGGGGGTTTTAGGGTTTAGGGGGTTTAGGGGACTTAGGGTTTAGGGTTTTAGGGGTTTAGGGGTTTAGGGATTTAGGGATTTAGGGGTTTAGGGTTCGGGGGTTTAGGGTTTTAGGCTTTGTTAGTTTGAGGAGAAACTAGCTTTCCACGGCAGAGTTAGTGTTCGAGCGAGAAATTAAACTCTGTAACTCCGGGTTTGTTTCCGCTAGGAGAAACTAACTCAGTCCACAGGGGTGGGTTTGTTTCCGGACGGAGAAACTTACTCTACCCAGAAAGGTTAGTTTCGAAGCAAGAAACGCTTCGACGAAGGAGTTGTCGAAATGTTGTTCAGTTAAGCGAATTCGTGTGGTTTCTCCTTCCTGTACGTGCTTTTCGCCACCCTGAAGCGAATTCGTGTGGCTTGTCGCGACTTGAGAAGACGCCTGAAGCGCTCAGACGGATTTGTCGAAATATTCAGTTTTATTTAGTTTTTTTTCTGCGCTTTTAACCACCGTAAAGCGAATGCGTGTGGCTGCTCCTTCTGGCTTGTTAGTGTTTTGAGTTTGTTTTTCGCTTTTAGCTATCCCAAAACGAATTCGTGTGGCTTCTCGTTCCTACTTCAATTTCATGTCTTCCCTTTAGAAAAAAAGCTTGTCAGCGAGGCTTCAAGGAGGACTTGAGAAGAATCTTGAAGCCCTCTTCGAGAATTTTGCCCACCCTTTCTCACGCCACCCCTTTCAGGCCTCTTCTCAAGCCTTCGATGTTCGCAGGAGAAACACCCCCCCCCTCCTCAGGGTTTGTTTTTTGCAGGAGAAACAAAGTTCACCCCCTCAGAGTTTGTTTTTTGTAGGAAAAACAAACTTCACCCCCCTCAGAGTTTGTTTTTTGTAGGAGACACAAACTCTCCCCCTCCGAGTTTGTTTGTTGTAGGAGAAACAAACTCACCCCTTCCAGAGTCTGCTTTTCCATTAAAACAAAACAAACTCCACAACAAATTCCCCCTCCCCCCCTCCCCCAGAGTTTATTTTTTTGTAGGAAAAGCAAACTCCCCCATACTCTCTCCCTTCACCCTCCCTCCCCCCTGCCATCCAAACTTTCCCAGCCAGAGCTTGTTTTTCTGTGCTGCAGTAAACTCACCTGGCCGGCGTTTTTTTCGGCCTCCCAAACAAAGTCGCCCGGCTACAGTGCTTGGCCTCCTAAACAACCCCCCCCCTCAGAGTTTGCTCTTTGTAGGACACACAAACCCCATGCTCCACCCTGGAGTTTGTCTGGGTCCTTGTTGGATACAATTTTACAGTTTTGTTATTATAATAACACCCAGTAAGGGTTAAAACTGATCATTTTTAATATAGCCCCAGCAGGGAACCAGTTGCTTTTCGAAGGAACAACAAATTCCCCGTCCCCGTCCCCACAGAAACTCCAGCAAACCCCAAGCCAGAGTTTGCTTATCGCCGCCGAAACAAACTCACCTGATGAGAGTTTGTTTTTGGCCTCCGAAACGAACTCGCCCTGCCACAGTTTGTCATTTGGCCGCCGAAGCAAACCCGTCGAGCCAGAGTTTCAGAGTTAGTTTGTTCCCCCCCCCCAAGCTTTCCCAGCCACAGTCTGATTTTTGCCGCCGAAACAAACTCACCTGGTGGGAGTTTATTTTCGGCCTTCCAAGCAAACTCGCCTGGCCACAGTTTTGTTTTTGGCAGCCGAAGCAGACTCGTCGAGTCAGGGTTTGAGAGTTAATTTGTTTCTCCTTCCCGCACCTGTTTTAGCCAGAGTTTGGTTTCTCGCAGCCGAAACAAACTCACGTGGTCGGAGTTTGTGGTTGGCCTCCGACACAAACTCGTCGACCCAAACTTTCTCAGTTAGGTTGTTTCTCCCCCCCTCCACGCCCGCCCCCGCCCCCGCCCCCCCCTCTAGTCTGCGCCCAGGAATACGAGTAAGTGTGTTTTTAGCCAAACAAATTCCTATCATTGAAAATTGCTAGCTAGCCTATCCGCCTCGGTCCTTTACCGGGGTCTCACGGAGACGACGAATCTCTGCATTGAGATGCTTGGGCGCACAGGCTCCGGCGACGAGATGGGAGCGAGTTTGCACTTCGAGCCGCCGCAGCCTAAAGGAACACGAAAGTGCTCTGACTTCTCGAAGTCACTGGGAGCATCTCAGGTTCTTCGTTCCGCGGGAACCCGTGCTGCATGAGCCACGGCATCGGGAGGAGATACTTGCTGCTGGCTTGTGGAAGCCCGGACCTAGAATGCGATCCTTTGTGGCCACCGTTTCCCCGTCGGCCGCGGCGAATTTTGCCCTGAAGCTGTCTATGCTTAAGACACCCGCAGACCCCGGAAGCAGTCAGCCGACTCCACTCGACTCCCACGCCAGTTCCAACACACCACCTGCGAGATTAACTGCATGCTCCCAAGCTCTAGACTTTGAGCCCCAAGCCGGAAGTTGGACTGCCAACCTCAACCCTCACTGAAAGGTTTCGGCCCACGTCGACGCGCCTCAAGCTACCCAGATCCAGCACCCTGCACCGACCCGAAATCTTTAAGCGTCAAACCATGGCCGCATTGTAGCCACGTTGTAGCCATGCGCCAGCGCAGCGTTGCGAACTGTGGTGCTGTCCACCACACTGCACCTGCGGACCGATCCAGAAGGCGAGGATCGTGGGTTTTGGACTCTTCGGGTTGCAGGCCTACGGGCTGTGAGGTGTTCAGAGTTCATGAGTTCGCGAGTACAGAGAGCTCTGCAAGAGATCGTAGCGAGACCACGGTTATGGTGACCTCGCGGTTCAACACCCACGAGGTTCACAGGCAGTTGTCATGAACTGGGACCACGCAGCTCCAACGGCTCGAAAACTTGAAAAAGCACCCTCAGCAGAGGCTCCGAGGTCTTGAGCTTAAACACCCGATTGCTCGGTGGTTTCAGCATCGCCTATGGCGGCAATATGCGGCAAGCAAGAACGGACTCGAAGAGCTAAACGTCGTCGTGTGCGTCACGTGCAGGAGGTGTGTGACCTGCTGAAAACCATGCTGGCTGGCCTATCCTTTGGCAAATCGAAAGATAGAGAGGCGCTGCTTCGGAATGGGCTTCTTGCATCCTGTGTCGGTGCTAGCTAGCACTCAGCGTTGAAGCTGACCGCAGGAGAAAGATGATAAGGATGAAAAGGTGAAGAGCAAGCCTCCATCCCAGCACCCAATATCATCCAATCTTGCATGACCAACCGTCTGTCAAGACAGTCACCAAACGAATGATGTAGAAGCTTCGTCAAGCTTGTTGTCTTGCATGCCGAGGAAGGACAAGAAGAAAGAAAAGCGAAAAGAACAAAAGAAGGAGCAAAAGAAGCGCTGCCTGGCCTTTTCATTACAATGTTTGGTGAAGTTGGGTGCCAGCTAGCTGCATGACACAATGGTGTTGAAGCAAGATCCTGATCGATTCTGTTGGTAGCGTTTGTCCTGCAAGGGGTTAAAAGATCTCACCAGGTCACCAACTGTTCTGTGATTGGCCCCTTTGTGTCTTCCAATCGGTGCCAACTTTGTGTTTCTTTTTTCAATTGTCCTTGAACGACGGTTTTGATAGTCGTCCTGGTCGATGATACACACACATGCTTGAGCTCGACACCTTGCTTCAGCTCACGGTTGCTTTGTTTTCGAGGATTCGTTTTGCCTAGGGCTTAGCTCTTGCATTGTAACTTGCTGCTTGCAGCCCAATGGGTGTTTTTGGCAGGTGCTTTCTGCTTGTCGCTTCTCAGCCCTCGCATGTTTCCTGCTGTGATAGCACGAACTTCCCCCTCTGCCAACGAATCCGGGGATGTTGGTAAAGATGTCAGCTGACGTGGGACGGGTTGACGCGGCTGAGGGTGAAGAGGTATTTAACTGAGACTTCTCTTTTTTTCGCTTAAGCTCCCGCCCTTTCGCTCTGTCTCCCAGCTCCGCCTCGGCACCGCACCGGCGGAGCACCGCTCCTGCCGTCCCCTAAACGCACCGAGGCACCCGGACGGGAGCGGACAAGGACGAAGACGCGGAAGACCCGGAGCCGAAAGACGCGGAGCAAGACAGGGAGCTCGCAGCAGCCGAGGTTGCTTGGCGGTCCTAGAAATTCCTAGAGTCGTTTACTATCACAGTGGAATATTATGAGACTCCTGCAGACTCGAGCGGAGTATATCAAACCATGTATGTTTGCATCTGTGCGCGGGTCCATAACGTGCGTTTGTTTGCGTGTGTGTGTGTTGTCTATGCGTGGGAAACCCACTCTACGTTTGGAGAAGACCGCACAGTCTTCCCAGTGCGCCCGCCGTGCCAGGGGATTGCGGAAGGCTGGCACCAACGAAGATCTTTCTGCCTTTGCTGTTCAAGTTGTGCAAAGTGCAAAGCTCATATTCGCTGTGAAGCCTTGAAGGATGCGGTTCTCCTTAATGCCATACGAGCTCGTGAAAAGAGACTGCAAGGGCTTCAAGCTTTTACTGATCTTATTGCCTGAAAGGTAGAAGGTTTTGGAGTTTTTGCCTTGATGGTGAACTCAGTACTGCAATGGTCCATCAATGGCAACCTGGTATCCATGCAAAATCAGGGACTTACCCACACTACCACCTTTCGAACACTCCACTTCCTTATACATGGGACAGGCTCGAAGTGTGTGTGAAACAGCTGCTGATTTCACCGGCGGGCCCCTTGCTTCTCTCGCTCCGACCTGTCCTTGGTTTATTGGCGCATTTGCACATAGCGTGCTAAAGGTATTATTCCTGCTCCGACGAGGACAGCCCATATGACCCCTCCCCGATATCGCAGTTGCATAAGTCCAGACCTTTTCCGGCGTATCCTGAGCGAAGCCCACCCTGCCTCCCCGATGGGAGGAGTGAATCTCTTGCTCCGAAGCTCGTGAGCAACATGGAAGTGCTAACGAATGTGTTGGCATGTAGCTGCGGAGCGATGGCCGGACCCACTTCTCAAGCGACATTGCCAGCACAAGATCTGGCTCGTGACATCTTCGAGCTTGTTGTGTTTGGTTGACACTTCTGGTTCAGTCACACAGCACTCACCAGCAATCATTCTCAAGCAGGTGGTTGATCATTGGTCACAACCTGCACGTTGTGAAGCCTCCTCACGGCGAGTGGTCTATCTGAGAGTGACTGTACGGGTGCAAGTGTGTACAACTTCACAGTGCTTGGAATGCTCGGTTTGCATGCTCGGTTCGTCGTGCCAAAAGTTCTGGAAAGCTGTGTGGGTCTGGCGACGGCACAGCACCCCCCCGGCTGAGCTGCTTGTTCCAGGTAGATTTCTTCGGTTCTATGGGCAGAGAGCGCTTGCACGGTACTCGGCGCATCTCGGCGCCGTTCTGAGTGCAGCTTGTGCAGCTTGAGGAAGGAGGACAAGCTGAAGCCAGATCCTGAAAAAGCGAAGGCCAGGCAGCCTCTCCGGTACGACCATGATCCTTATGGCTTGCTTTCCTAGGTCAGTGAAAAGGAGTACAATCCGTTCCTTCGTGGGGAAGAATCTAACCTTCCCGCTGATCGCTGAGCTTTTGCACAAGTGCAATCAAATTAGATGCAGCAAGATGCAGCACGCCTGCCCCCTCATCTGCTGGCTCTACCAGGTTCCGGAGTCGGCAAGCGCCAGCTCCATTCCAAAGCATTTGTGCTCAGAGCTTATGCCGTGTCACATGTCCCATCATGGTGCTATTCAAAGCCTGTGCTGCTCCATGCACTCTGTAGGTGTGGGTACTCCTTGGGCGGGGAAGAACGACTGGAGAAAGCACATGCAGAATCGCAAGGAACAGTGTTTTCCTGCACCCGACTTGCACACCATTTCGCGCACAAGCTGTGCATCTCACGCAAGGATCCCAACAACGACAGAGACCAGGGGGGCGAGGCAGGCACCGGGATGGACCTCCAAGCGCTTTTGCAGACCTAGCACCTGCACAGGCGCCAGACCGCAGGGGCCTCATCCCAGCTTAGTCCGGCAAGTAAAGATTTGCATAAAGCAGGTCGAGAGAAGGAGGACAAAGCTCGAACGGGTGTGCCAAACCCTCTGACGGCAGGGCAGCTGCAATATGAGCATCGCTTTGCTGAAAAGTCAAGGACCGGAGGCCGTGCGAGCAACGTCCCGGGCGGCCCAAGTGGCGGTGGCTGGCGGGCAAAGAAAGCTGCAGTCGCCGAATCCTCACTCACCCCCTATGGGCACGTTCAGGGTTCAGATGCGAAGGTGAGGCGCTCGCGCAGCCGAAGCCAAAGCCGACGCCGCAGCCGCAGCCGGAGCTCGGGCCGTCGCAATTCTCGACGGCAGCGCCACCGATCTCGATCGAGGTGCTTTGTCTAAGCTTCACCAAACACCAGTGGAGCCATCCCCATTCCTTCTCTCGAATCTCAGGTCGTCCGGCAGTTCGCAGCGTTCTCATGCGTGCTGGGGTGTTCCACTAGAGTGTTGCTGCCGGTATTTGCCAATGCCGTCCAGGTCTTCAGCGAAGGAGGCTGAGCGTCGGAAGGAGCAGGAAGGGAGCAGTTTCCTGCGGTCTATTGGGGGGGGGGGGATGGGGATGGTGAAGCCCCTGAGCTGGCAGGTTGCGAAAGCGGTGCTTAGTCGAGTGAAGGCTGCCGAGGCCCAGGTGGAAGCCGAAGGCGATGGCGATGCAGACGAGGCACTCGGAATGAAGAAATGCACATGTGTTCGTGTGACAACAGCCTCTCTGGCAACAGGTCATCCGCAAGTTGCAGTCGTGCGCTCGATCTTGTAAGGCTCCCCTTCTGAGACCTGTGGTGCTTTCACAAAGTAAGGTCCAAGTACAGCAAAGCTGCTGGCAAGCAAGAAGGTGTTGGGCTGGCAGCCTCCGCAGAGGATCAGCTCAACTTGAACGCCACTGTTTTATGTACTGTACCTGCTCTTGACTAGGACGTTGAAGATGACATCGACCCCAACAAGCTGGGTGCTCTTGCCATGGAAGCCATGTTGAGTCGGGGCCCAGCAATTAATTGTTATTGCTTTGCGACGTGGAGTCACTCATGGCAAAGGTGGCGACATGGCTCGCTACGAGGAGCTGAACCGACGCCTCGAAAAGCACCAGGCAACGGCCGGCTGGAGCCTGAAAGCCTCACCCGCTTGCCTCGGTATGCCGGAGACGTTCTGAGGTGAGAAGCCTAAGGCTTTCACTTTGCCTCCTCCAGAGCCTGCCGAGAATGTCAAGGCAAGGGCTTTCCAAAAGCGCGAGATATTGCGAAGTGTACTTCGCTGGCACCTTTATCCGGCCCGCTAGAGAAAACAGTTGTCTGCTTGGCTGTGCGAAGGTTCTCGAGCAGGTGGATGCAGCAGGGAGGAGCAAAAAACTGGTTGAGTCAGCACGAAGCTGAACATCCTTCACATGTTAGCCAAGCTGCTCCCAACTGTACTACGCTGCAGTTCTCAAGCTCGGGACAAGGTCCAGTCTGCATCGGTCCACACCAAGGGGAGAAACAAAAGAGGCGCCGTGGCACGCGTGTGGCTGTGGAATCTGCGAGTGCGCCATTCTGCAGTTTAGTTCTGCGAGGCACTGCCAATGCGGTTCCAGGTGGCAAGGACAAGAAGGGCTCGCAAGGCACGTGCTGCCGCCAGCCGGCTGCAAGTTCTCCACGTGTGTTCGTGCCAGCAATCCAAGGCTACTACGAGGATGACGATGTCTCCCTGCAAGAACTGATCCGCCGCGAGCGCATCGAAGGAGTCCAGGCACGGCTGACATTACCCTGTCGAAGCGAATCTAGCCGAGTCTTTCGCATGCCTCTTTCGAGCTTACTGGAGGACTATGATGCCAATCTAGAGAAGCACATCTTGAAGAGGGGCGACCGCTTCAAGATGTTGGAAGATGACGAAGACGAGGCATTGGGCCTCTGTCTTGTTCTTTCTCCCCTCCCCTCCCCTCCCCTCTGCTTCCCTCCCCTCCCATCCCCCTGTCACTCCTGTTTTTACATTTGTATCTCCCCCTCTTTTCTTCTTCTGTGTGTGTGTGTGTTTGTGTGGGAGCTTGTGAGGGTTTGGCAATGCAGGCATATGCTCTTGGCTGGTATGAGAATGCCGACAAGAAGATGGACTCCAGGTTCAGTCCATCTGAGAGTGACGGCATGTGGTTGGACAATCGGAGAATTGCATTCCCTACCAGGAAGGGTGCGGAGAAGCGACTCAAGCAAGAGAAAAACGACAAGAACCGGATCCAGGCAAAGAGTCAGACTGTTGTGTTGCAGCAAGATTTTTGCCGTCAGCAGGTCAATTTGGAAAGATGCACTCTTTGCATGGAGAGCCATGTTCTCACGGTAAAGGTGGCGAATCACGGTCTGCTTGCACAGCTCGTGGCGATGAGGTAAAAAGTTTTTCCGCAAAAATGCGGTGATGTCGGTGTCGCCTCATGCGTCGCATCCCCATTGTTCCTGCCTAGGGCCTCTGCAGCTTTCAGTCTGAGTCGCTACCAAGGTACCTTTGTGTCGAGGCGGAAGGCCGGTGCATTGTTCCTGGCCAGGTGACGCCCCTGCAAGGGACCTCACGTCTTTTGCGCCCTGTGCCCTGTGCCGTTCTGTCGCAGGTGCTAATCGTGCCGCAAGAGCACGTCATGGCCATGACGGATGCGGACGAGGCAGCAGAGCCTGTGCCAGGATTTGAGACTTCGCATTTTTCTTCCCTGTGCAGGCTGCATGGGCAGTGTGCTTAACTAAACATCTCGCGGCCAAGGGCTTAGTGGAAAGCTCAGAGCCATGCCAGTATGAATGAGGCAGACATTCGTAATTACCAGAAGTGCCTCATCTCCTTCTACGAGTCAGAGGCATGACTGAAATCAGTCACGCGGTACAAGATGGCAAACCTTCTTGCAACGTGCCGCGCATGCCGTTGCAGCAACCTCCTCGTGCTGTTCTCTTCGTGGAGTCTTCGGTGCACCGTGTTTCGAGGGACAAGGCACGAAGCGGTGTAGCACTCGACACCTGGTGACTGCTGCATGAGAGGCTCTGCTGGGGGCAGGCCCCCATGCCAGTATTGTCGCATATCCGATCGAGCGCCGGCCTTGGCTAGGTGGGAGTGAAGAGAAGCAGTTTTCCTAAACACTTCATGGCTTCTCGTAGTCGGGAGGAACGGTGGCATTTTATGATCAGTCAAGTTCTGTCAATGTCTCGCCTGGCATCAAGGGTGCATGGTGATGCCAATGGGAGCTGTTCTGGTGGGTTCTATCTGTTCTTGAGTGAGATCGGCTGTTGTTGTATCTGGTTGCACTGGCCGCATTGCCAGTCAAGTCATCAGCGGCTGTGAATACTGAGTCTTTCTATCATGTGAACAAAACTTGCACGATTCGTGTTGCTCATGGCTATCGTTCCAGCGACCTTGAGTGGTAAGAACATCGCCTGTTTCTCAGCCAGAACTCGTTGTGCAGCAAAGTTTTCTGTCCGGAGCATCGGTCTCGGATCATTTTCCCCAGCAGATACGAGAACCTTTCAGCATCAGTCGGGCGTAGTGCGCTGGACAAAGGCCAGAGTGCAACCCCGAATCAAGGCAACCGGAGCAGTGTATCATTGCTGCGCGTGTGGCAGCTTTTGCGTTAAATTGTCGCACGAGAGGGATTTAGCTTTTTTCGAGCCAGGTCTTGCTGTGTTGGCCTTGCGGAAAACTTCCGAGGATGGGTCTTCTGGTCCAAGCACGCACCTACTGGAAGAAGGCATCCAACAGCCGTTGACAATTATCGACACTCCATGCTATCATCCGCAAGTAGCATTCCTTCAAGGCCCTGGATGAAGCGGAGAGTGAGTTTGAGACCACCCACAAGAAGGCAATGTGCCTGGCGACGTCAGACTCGGCCGGACTCTGATGATTCTGATGCACTGAGCAGCGAACTTGGCCAGGTTATTGAGACCGATTCGAAGGGTGGTGTGCGAAGCGCTGTTCCGAAGGGCTTTCCGTGCGCCTGCAGTATCCGGCTGTGCAGTTCTGAGACGGAGAATTGCGAGGTACATCCACGTGGATTTTAGTCTTGGAGGTGGTTTCGCCCATGTGATTGACAATGTGGCTGAGTTTCCGCGGGATTTCGCGCAAGATGTCATTGCAGGAATGCGTCTTGCCTGCATCGTTGCAGTACATGTATTGTACCTAAGGGGAATTCACAAGAGACCGCGAACTCCAGGACAGCAGTTTATTCAGTCCTTGCTGAGGTGTGAGATGACCATCCTTGACCGTGCTTACACTTGCAAGGAGGAGTGCCCTCGCAGGTTTACCATTCGTTGTTGCAGAATATGATCTGATCACGGTCCATGCTCGAGGTACAGAGATGCTTGCAGGGACATCAAGGAACGCTTTGCAGCGGACTTTGACTGGACCAAGGCCATTTTCGCCCGCGGTACTGCACATAGACTACAGAGACACACATAGACCTGCAAGTATCCAAACTACAGACCAGCACTTATGAAATATTTCGCACGGGGCTTTCATTCTCTCGTGTCTCACCGTACATGTTTTATTGCTGTCTTGTCAATACCCGTAGCCTTTCTCACACAGGCAGACAAGTTCTGTTGAATTCCATTTCGCACTCTACTGGCACTTGCAATAGTTTTGCTCCAAGCCTGACAGAAGCGAACAAGCGCACGCATGATGGCTGAAAGTTTGCATGTTCGGTATACAGTCGGACAGGTTTCCATCGTTGCACGGTGCATGTGATGCTCCTGCCACACACATGCTTGCGCAACAGCTGACGGTACAAGCTTCTCTTTCGAAGTCAGGCGCTTCAAGCTTGACTTGGACTGCTGCCTCCGTCCGCGACAAGATGTGCAGCCTCGTCTCAACAGGGATGAGGGGCAAACTCAAGCACCCGTGATGAAGCTGCGAAAGCGCAGTTTCGCAGATCGCTGAAGCCACGAGTTGGCCATGGAAAGAGCCCGAGACAGGTTCTGTCAGCTAGACAGTTCTGCTGCGCCTAGTGCTTCTCGATTGCTGCAACCGCGATGCAGGACCTTCAGCAGCTCGGGGTCTCGATTTTCAACAGGACAGAAGATCATGACCTCCAGACGACGCTATGTTTTGTGGACGATGCTGTTCCTCCCATCCTGTCGCAGGGTTGCTTCTAGGGTCTTCACTTGTTCTTCACATCCCTGGGCCATGGCAGTGTCTTTGTAGCTCCAGGCAGCAGTGAAGGTTGTCTGTCTACCGCAGCTTTCTCGAGGAGCCCCGGTCACGGGATTGCCTTTCTCGTTGCGATCGGCATCGTGCGTGATTTTCCTGTGGAGATCAACAACTTTCTGGTGAGGCAGCCTGGTGCACGAGACTTACGCATTTCAAAATTTGATTTCATCTGGGCAGGTTAAATGCTGACCGGGAGAAGATAGGTGACAAGCCCAGAATGGCCGCAACTTGTGTGGGACAACCCGAGACCTTGTTTCAAGGCGATTATCTGAGCGAGGAATATCCGACCGTCGGCAGCTTTGCACGTTTCACGTGACCTGTGGTGGAAGTATTTAGGGGATTTATCTCGACTCGCGCTCAATGATGCGAGGCTCAGACCTTGCGCTTGGAGTGGGCCTAGCTGGTTGGCATGTCTTAGAGGACCCCATGTAGGCAACAAAGACGGCAAGGGAAAAGGTCCCTTTTTGCAGATGTTGGCATTCATCAGCAGCATTATCCAGGTTTCCTAGCGAACCTGAATGTGAAGCCAGGTTCCTGAACTCTCTGCCGCTCTTGGGGACTGGAGTTTTGTGCTCAGTGGCGAAAGACTCTTGTCTGGAGCGCCGCACAGTGTGCAGAGTGCACGGCACACGTCTGGAGACAGCCGCCGAGGTTCTGTCAGCGCTACAGACAGTCTCGCATGACCTGACGCTTCCGCGTGACTGGATGAAGGCGAATCTCGAACTTCTTTGCACTTCCGCGGGCTGTTTGCCGGACTGCCATGCAAGGTGGATCGGCTTCTGCGGGGTGTTGCGCACTTCTGGTGGAAGCAGCACGAGGACAAGACCTTCCTGGCAGAGAAGATCAAATGCTTGGGTGGGTGCTGGTTTGTGCGCTTTTCTCCCCTCCGCAGGAGGAGATCAATGAGCGCCGGAACGAAGCTCCGACCTCGAGCGCAAGCCCAGCGCAAGGCACACGAGCGCATCAGCGAGCAGAACGTGACTGTCCCAGGGCGGTGCCAGCTCTTTCCGCGATGCGCCAGACGACTCAGGCCAGGGCATCAGGGCGGAGGCCGCTTCGACTCTTCGCATCCTTTCGATTGCAGGCGAACTGATTGGTCTGGACCTTCAGCGTGCATTGCTTGGGACAGAGGGCTTTCACAGGCTCGTTCTGGGTCGCTCGCTCTTTTGGGGAAAGCTGGATCGAGATGTGTTGCCGCCGTGAGCGGCTTCATGTTTTGCTGAAAGCGGACATCAGCAGACCAAGCGGACAGCTGCAGGCTCCTGTTCTCAACGCTGATGCTGTACAGGCTCGTCGGTGGATTGCTGGTTCTGGACGCTTCCGGGACCGCAGTTGCTTGCAGTTTTGCTTGAAGGTGGCTGAGAGATGGCCACGAGATGCCACTCAACACCTGGGTGCAACTGAATGCCGGCATCGAGGCACAGCACAGAGCATTCTTTCCTGTGCAACATCTTCGCACCTCCGAGGGTGCCGGGAATGATTTTCCTTTCCATGTCCAGATGGCCATCCACAAGGTGCAGTGCTCGCATGTCCGGGCACATGCGAGCGCGTTTGCATGCGTGTGCAGCGACTTTCGACCCGTGGATCGTGCAGGCAATCAGCTCTGGTGAGCTGAAGCTCCAAGCTCTGGTCTTAGCTTCTTCTTCTCGACAGCAAAGCTGCAGAAAGATGCTTCGCGTCGTTTTGCTCCATGCCCAGGTCGACCGGACGCTTTCCCCGGTGAAGCCTCCCACTCCATCCCTGCGGGGTCGTGCGCCGTCCTCGAGTGATGTGACATGTGACGCTGTGACGGATTCTTCCACTCCAGGCCTTCGTGCGCTACAACGGCCGGCCCCAGACTGACGGCGATCTGGCTCACTGGCCACAGGCCATGTCGAGGTGAAGAGTTTAAAGATGACTTCAAACGTTGCAGGCGTCACCACACGTTCTTGCTGCGGAAGGAGGTGTCCTCGCGGCTGGAAGGCACGTCGTAGCACGTCGTTCTGAGAACTTCAGACTCTGAGAAGCCAAGCTGAACAGACAGGATGTCTCCGCAGCCGGCGTTGTGTCTGCAAGGCTCTCGAGCAAGGTCGGGCGTGAAGTGTAGAGCTACCTGTAGGGAGGCGTGTGAAGATGGCCAGAGCCATGCCCCCCAAGATTTTGCCCGGTCCGGCTGGAGAGTGCCCTGTGCCTCGGATAATTAGCGTCTTCGCTCCCCTTCGCAAGGTGGAGATGCAAGTAGTTGCCTGTCTCCCTCACTCTCCGTTTTGTCCCCTTTCTCCTGTTCGGTGTGACTTCCGCGCGCGTGTGTCACTTTGCAGGGACTCGAGCATGCCCCAAAAGGCTGAGTGAGTTTGTCAGGGGCTGCAGTGCCTTTGCGATGCCTTTTACTTTCATGGATGCAGAGCGGCCTGGGAGATCCTGGTGCCGCTCCGCGTCTGAGAAGGGGCAGAAGTGGAAACGCTGAGTATACTTTGGAGAGATTGAGCATCCCAAGCCCGTTTCGAGCTGCAGTGCTGCATATGACCATAAAATGCAAGAGCATGCGCCGATAGTAGTACCCGCCCCCCTTCCTTTCAAAAAATAATGATGTTCTGCTTTCCAGGGCTGAGGTCAGATCAGCTATCCGCGACTTTGTACTGGGTTCTTGCCCCAGCTCACAAAAACATGAATGATGTTGTGCTTCCCGCATGCGTACACCCGGAAGCACCGCAGGGCAAGGGTGCTCGAGCATGCCAAACGGCTGAGTGAATTTGTCAGGGCTGTAATTCCCTGTGTTGTCGTGGCATTTCGCTATTTTCATTTTCCCGCGCGCCGGCAACAGTGTGCTCGTACCTTCAACCGGAGCTTTGCCGGAATCTGTTGCAGCTGTGACTGCACCGTCGTTCTCTGCTTGTGCCTCAGGATGTCATTGACAGCATTTGCACAGCCTTTCGATGCTGGTGGGTCCGCACCCCATGTAGCCATCCCCAAAGCTGACCTCTGCCGTTTTCCGACTGATTTCGCAGCTTTTGTTTACACTCAGGTCAGGAACCACCGACGAAGAGGTTGGCCGTTGCTGAAGTCCGAAATGCCGGAAGTCCGCCAATATAACACATAAAAGGGGCGGCCTTAACTACGTGGCATTTCGACGTGTGAGGCGATTGTTTTTTGAGGCTGCATCACCATGCAAGCTTGCTGGATACTGGGTGCGGCAGTTGTGCTATGTGAAATAGAAGAACACATAACGCTTGCGGGGCCACGATATCTGTCCGACCTGCAGGTGACATGGTTGCGTTTGCATCAGTGGCAATGTGCTTACGGTCCTTACGGGTAGCAGATGTCGATTCCACGTCAGCCGCGGAATCTTGCTCTTGAGGCTGCTCCTGCTGGCCTCCAGTGACGATGCCGCCCCTTTCGCCTTTGTGTCACTAAAGCTTGGCCCTTGGAAAGGTCCGACGAAAGAGCTTGTAAGACCTCACATCCTCAGGAAAGTAGCACTTCTTCGGGCTGATGCCCGCGTGCTGCAGATCACGCTGGCCCGCCTGGTGCTCAATACTCGCTATCGCATCTCGCAGCTCTCTGACTTCAGCGTGACGACATCTAGAAAGCCATGGAAAGCCTCTGAGGCAGAGTTGAAGGGGACTGGCCGTCGGTCACAGTGGACGACGATTGGCTGGAGTTTCTGATCCAAGACTGGGGAGGGGCCGGATGAGGCGGCTTGGCTTGGCACGGGCTTGGGATCGAGGCTGTGCCTCCTGCTGGGCGACGGACGGTTTCAGGTCTTGGAGGCAGGGGACGAAAGGACACGCAAGGCTGATCAAGGCTGCCTGAGCTCACTTGAGCCTACTTGCGAGTCCAGGCTCCAGAGCTGATGATGAGGTGCCGTGGGATGCCGTGGGCGTAAGGTATGAGGACCATCTTGAAGCTTGCTCCAGCCGTGGGACTTTGGCCGGTCAAGCTCCTGCCAAGCTGAGGTAGGTGATGCAGTTCGCTGAAGCTTTTACACGTTACGGTTGGAATCACTCCTGGTAGCGTGCCGCCAAGAGTCATCCAATTCTTGTATAAACCCTGGACCGCCAAGATGTGAATCCGCCGCCAGATTTCTGGAAATTTCGATGTTGTGTTTGGCTGCGCGCATTACCTGCAATTAATACAAGCCGAAGCGACCGACCGAGACATGATGCTGTCACTAGACAGTGAGGGAGCACTCGTGTGCCGCAGGTTTGAGGATGAAGCGGACTTCCAGAACTGGGCAGATGGCTGAGCGACGAACAGCGGGCAGTGGCATAGTGGCGTTAGGATTCGTGCCGAGCTGAGGCCGGATACTTGCGGGAACTGTGCTGCCATCCCCTCAGAGCTGAACAGGGTTTAACAACCATGTTTTGCTACCCTGTCGGGAGTGGTTGCCGTCAGGTGAAGACCCGGACCGGCGTCGGGCTGCACTCAAGGAAGGAATGTTGCTAAGAGATCGCAAGAACTGAACCTTGTAAAATGCCGGCAGGTCCCACCAGTGATTGTGGCTGGCCACCCGCTTCCGTAGATGCTGGAGACTCAGCTTCCCGGAACATTGCTGATGAACCATATAGGCATCGACCATCAGTGTAAGCTGACCTCGTGTTTACCAAGGCCTGATCGACACTCTGATCCAAGTTGGCTGTGCAGCACTCGTCTTGCGAGATCACAAACGTCTCACCAAAGGCCATTTGCGACATGATGCTGGTGCAAAGACAGCAGCGCAAGAGCAAGAAGCGTCTCAGAAAATCGTCGAGCATTTTTTGGAACAATCAATGCCATTCCTCAGTTCATCATCTGCTGATGGTATCGTTGTGGGAGGTTGCAAGACGTTTGCATGAATCGGTTTAAGATGCAAGGAAGCAGTATATCGCAGTAACTAAGGAACGTGTTTTGCCTAGCATGTCTATAAGTGACAAGATTGCTTGCGCTGTTGTCACACCGCCTCAGAAACTTCCTGTTCAAATTACAAGCCCTAAAACCCAAGACCCTAAACTCCGCAATATAGATGCAGAAGCCCTGCACCCGAAACCCCAACTGCCGTGAGACAGAATTAACTAGGGCCCGACACACCGCAAACTTCCAAGTCGTATGCACGCCCCAAACTCCAGATTCAGTAGTCAACGAGTCAACGACCTTGATCGTCTGAAGTTCCCACTCAGTTCCTGACGTCTGCAGCATCTTGGCTAAAGGGGCTTTAACGCTCCTCCAAATGCGGTCGCATCAAGTTGCGGCTGGAGCCCCGGATTCTTACGTACAGTCTTATGTGTTCAGTTGCACCTTTTGTTTGCGTTCACAGCTCTTGCCACTCCTGTACCCTGAATACGAGATTTCTGCAGGTAACCGTCCATTGCGCATGGGGCTGAGAAGCATCAGGATGTTGCACTTTCGAGGAGTGAGGTCTGTCCGATCGTGACGGAAGAGTGCCATGCAAGCTGTAGGTCTTATAGTTCTTGCGAGGTACCGAAGCTGCTGCCCGTGCAGCAGGTGAGCCTGATGCCATGTTGAGTGTAAAAGATGTTGTCAAGTTCAAGGTCGCGCCGTGCTCGCAAGCAATAGCAAATATTCAGCCTGTTAGGACACTGAAGGGGGTCTGCCACGACTGCTGTGCGGCGGGCGCAGCAACGAAAGGGCTGTTCAAAGCCCAGTGTATTTCATGTCATTGCAAGCAGGCAGTTGACTTCAAATTGCCGAAGGCGACTGCGCCCGAAGGATCCTCCAACCGCTCGCTCAGCCTTGAGGATGAGGCGGGAGCAGCCAATCCCAAGCCGCAAGCATCCAATGTGCTTCCATGGCAGGAGTTGCTGTGTGAACCTGTGACCGTGAGCCACCTGAGCCTCTCAGCTGCAGACCCTTTGTCGCTTATCTATAGACTAAAGACAGAAGCCTTCTTCGATTAGCTCTTCCCCGGCAAGGCTCTGACATCGGGGTTCACTCTGAGCCACTCGAAGGCCTGACACCAACCCTTGCCGGCGCGTAGTGGGGCAGCAGACGAGACACGTGTTGCTCGGCAAGGACTGCGCAGGCCAGACACCTCGTGTCGCCAAAACGTGCCCCTGTCCCCCTTGGTGCGGAGAAAAAGCCTCGTGACCAAGCAGGCCACGAGAAGCTAGTTGCTGCTACTGATTCTTGTCATGATTTAGTAGGGCGGATCGGTTGCTGTGGCGCAGGAGTTGGCAGCTACCTCGCCTCTGCTTCGACCGCCGCGACTGCCAGTGTCACGGAGTAGCTCCGCTGCTTGGCACAGCATTCGAGCCACAACTGGCCGAAAGCAGCTACTCGTGTTTCAGAAATGGGCCGGGTCGTTGCCACCTGGTCCTGCCATTAAGGTTGAAACGGAAAAGTCCGTTGACAGTAGTCGACCAAAGGCTTCTCCGCGATGATCTCAGTTTCAAGTCTATTCGAGCGTGCGTTCGAGCTTGGGCTTCATTCGGTTGGACTTCCCTCCTGTCTCCGCCGGGCGTCTCTGCTCCCCCCTTGCCTCTGCCACTCGTTCCTCGGCTGTTCGCACGTGCGCGCACACATGTAGTTGGGCTCATAGTCACACGTAGCGACACAATCCAGCATTTGAGAACTCACGTGCTCAAATTTCTCATTTTAGCCTGATCACATGTTGCATCTGCAACCTGCGCATCGCATATAGGGAGTAGATTCCAGGCATCATTGCATGCTTGCGACTTATATCCGTGACATCCTGCATGTTCATGGAGCTCGCATTGAATGCATCGAAATGCTGATCTACAATCGCGCCAGATCGCAAAGGCAGTGGAGACGCCTGTTAAGGTGTTTTAAGGTCAACTTTGACGCTAGTCTGTTCTCACAACAGCATTTCCGCAAAGCAGGTCTTCACTTTCGGCCCCTTACTCTACTCGTGTTTTCACGTCGGCTGTCGGCTTATCCAGCTTTCTCCGGCTCGGCCTGGCTTAGCGCTTGGGAGCTGTGCAGCACAGCTCCGTGTGCTGCTGTCACGAGCGGCTCCAATAATTCTCATTTTTGGCTACAGCACTTGCTCTAAGGTCTGTGTCTCCTCGATCTCCGGGTGCCGATACTCAGACTTATGCTCGCAGGGTCTGCAGAGGGACAGAGCTGTCAGTGCCAGCGGCAACACTGCCAGCATCCACCAGCGAGGTACTCAGCCAAATTCAGCCAGCGGCGCGAGACTTGGGGCAGTTACTCTTGCTACAGTAGTGCATCTGGGTCTTCGTCTGGCAGAGCGCTCTTGAGAAAAGCTCTGCCGAAGCGCGAATTGGGCACCAAAAGACCTGCAAGGATGGATGGAGTGCACTGAAGTGTTCCGTTGCACGACTACCTGCAGCGCAGTGGAAACCCTGCCAGCGGGAGCCAGAATCATCGACTGAGAGCTTTCCTGTTAATGTCGTCAAGGTTTCTCGAAGTCTCGGCTGAGTTTCCGAGCTCTTTGCTTGGCACGATTGCTATTTCGCAATGTCATTTCGAGTGATACCTTTCGATTCGCTGTTTGCAACAAATCTTTGTTGGAAATTGGCATCTTGGCCCCTCGTCGGAAGTGTCTGCAGTCGTGCTGAGGTACGGACGATGAAAAGTCTCCTTGCCCTAGCATCTCTGCTAGCAGCATCGACACAACTAGAACCTACCCACGCCTTCAGCTCAGCTGTGCAGAGAATTGTCACAGGAACGGAGGAGTGAATGAGCGCCGTGCAAGGTGCTGTTGAACTTATCGTAGAGGAAGCGGAGGAAGACATCAATCGGCCTTGGGGCACTGTGGAGCGGACGTTCAAAGCTTTCTGCGGAACCAAGCCAGGCAGCGCATGCTTACTGGCAGCCCATGTCACACACAAAGCATCACTGAAGCCGAGACAAGTGGTTTCTTAAGTTATTAAGTGCGAGGGGGCAACTGCACAAGGAGGTAAGAAGTGATCGACTTGGTCAGGTATGGATGGAAAGTCATTTGCAAAGCTTTGCAAGGACTGGCGTTTGGGCGGAATGACTTCATGCCGGTTGAAGGGGAAAACAAGCAAGCACGCTTTTGGGATTGGTGCTTGCCTGAACAAGAGGGGGGATCCAGCCCAAGCATTCCTTCCCGTGAAGGATTCCTCCTTGGTCGAGAAGAATCTTACCAAGACAGATGTGGACATTATCTTTGCGAAGGTCTGCAAGCCTCTTGGCTGAAGATGCCCCAAATGCATCGGAGGATTCTCGGCTGCTTCAGGAAGGGGCACCGTCGAATCGGGCTGGAGCAGTTCGATGCAGCCCTGGAGATGATCGCAGACAAGAAGACCTTGACTTTAGAGGAGGTCTGGTGCGCAGTAAGGCACGCCGGATAGGATGTTACAAAGGCGTTGGGTCACGATTTCTCTCCGCGTGTGGCTTGTGTCGCAGGTGTTGTGGAGGGCCCGTCCTCAACAGCACCAAAGCGGAAACAGTGCGGTTCTATGACGACAAGAGCCTCTACACGGGAACTCATGCACAAGGAGGGCCTGATCCTGGCAGGAAGGGAAAAGGTACACTGCCTCGTCCTCAGTCTACGAGTCGGCCCGAGGTAGTGGAAATTGGGATAAAGTGGGGCATGCTTTGGCATGCTTTCCCGCCAAGGACATGGACCACAGCTCTGCGTGACGAGCCTTCGCAAGGCAGCGCCAACACGCCAGTGCCAAACTCCCCACGGGATCCCGAGTTCTCGCCACCGGAACTTGAGAAGCGACCTCGATCCGTGAGCTTGAGCGAGAAGAAGATCTCTCAGCAGCTGCGAGGCAAAGACGGCACAGTAGAGGCTGGGGCTGGGGGCTGTCTCTGGGTCACCGGGTTGTCCGTGGCTGGTTCGGCGGGATCAACCCAAAATCTCAGAAGCTTGGGCTCTGCTATGGCTGCGGGTCTTTTCTGTCGCCAGGATACCTTTAAGGCTTACTGCGCCAACAAGCCCGACATGGATGGGAAGGGCTTCGTCAAACTCTGCAAAGACTGCGAGTTGGTGGACGACAGTTTGACACTGATTGATGCAGATCTTATCTTTGCAAAGGTGGTGTCCAGGGGCCACCGACGGATCATCCTGCGCCAATTCAAGGAGGCTCTCCGGTTGATTGCCGACAGGAAGGGCATCGACGAAGAAGAGATCTGTCAGCGTGTCGCCGAATCGGAGGGGGTGGTTCACGAAGGAACCACTGCGGATTATGTGCGGTTCTTTGACGACAAGAGCACCTACACGGGCACTCATGTCTATGGAGGCTGCCTCAGCACCCACAAACCGTTGTGGGGCATTGTGCGAAAGGGTACAACTAGGAGAGGAGTATCTTTCTTGTTCTGCCAAACACGACGGATGCGTGTTTCCGAGTCCTAAATGCAGACTCTTCTGAAGCCACAGACACTTCGTGATGCCAAGAGGTCCGGACAGCAGTGCCAGAACCAGTGCCGACCAATTCTGGAGCTCGATGCTGCGCCCCGAGGGGGAGGAGGACAGGCTCCCTGCGCCTTGGCCAAGCAGTTGAAGTCCGACTGAGAGAGAGACTCTCTCTCACATCAGCTCCAGAATCCCTAAACCCTCTCTTTCAGGAGATGGTGGTGACCAAGATCTGTGAGACCAGTCCCCAAGGCGAGGGCAAAGCGTCGCGATAGCCGCGCAGTCCCGCAGTAGCCTTGCGGCCAGGGAGCAAGGCGAAGGCGACCCCAGTGCAGCCCAAGGCACGGCAATGCATGGCATGGCATGGCCTCGCCTTGCCTCAGCTTCTGCGCACGAGCTTGTGCTGCAAAGAGCGGACGCGACAGGCAAAGCCCCGTGCGCGCTTGGCGATCACCGCAAAGAGCAAGCCACCGACTGGGGACAGCCATGACTTTACCATGGTCTTCACCGATGTGCAAGGCGGGCTAGAAGGTCCCAATTGAGCTTGCAAGGAACTTTTGCGTGCGAGGCTCCACATCACTCTGGGAAGCTAACCCTCGTGCTATGGAACTGGCTCTGAGACTTCACGACGCGACCATCAGGCAAGTTCTTGCCAAGCACAGCGGTTATGAGGCTCGACTTTGCAAGTGTTACAGGCAGTTACAGGTGCTGCCACTGACACGTACGGAAAAGCTTCGCGTGCAGGTCACAACAGAAGGCGATGCCTTCCAAATAGCCTTCCATGATACTGCAGATGCAGTGGCATTCTGCCTGGACACACAGCAAGAGCTCTTACGATGTGATTGGCCAAATGCCACACTCTCGCATCCGGACGCAGCTGCCTTCACCTCAGACAGCGAGAGCATCCACACACGGGTGGCCGGGCGGCTGTTGTCAGTTGCCCAGCGATCGCATGTCTGAGATCTGAGGCCAGCAGTGACGGAGCCTGGCGCGGGTTGCGTGTGCGCATGGGTCTGCATTCCGGCCGCCCGGCCTCCGTCACGAAGCACGAGGACTGACCCGAAAGGGTGCGTTTCTCCAGGATCCCCTTCTGCCATGGCCCTGGCAGGTCACTGGACGATGGAGATATGCGGGGCCATCTGTTGCAATGGCCAAGGCTATAGAGGCGCCTGAAGCTTTCTCATCTTGTCATCTCCAGCACATGCAGATGCCTGCCAGGGTGTTTGCCATGGTGGGCAGATCATCATGTCTGCAAGCAGCTTTTACCTCATTGATGGTTTGCTGACTTCGCTTGGAAGTCCACAGGCCGGACAGGAGCTGGAACTTGTGTCTGTAGAGGGTGGCAGCATCCCTAAATCTTTTAAACTAAAATGGGAACGAGGGTAGGGACGAAGGAAAGATGCAGCGACCGACTGGAGGGAAGGAAAGAAATTGGGCCGATGATGATTAGCCATGTTTCTGCGTACTGATTCCGCAAAGGGCTTGAGTCGCCAATGATCGAGCAACTGTCGACGTGGTTGGACGTTTTCACGATTTTCCTGGTGTTCGGGCCAGCGGTGCTTGCTGTTTATAGTCGAGAGAGAGAGCTACAGTAAGGGAAGAACAGCATGCGCATCAGCAGCTAGAGCCTCACTAGAAGGGTGCGCCGAACTGCCCTGCAGGTTGTAGACTTGGGGGATCACATCTTGGAAGGGCATGGCCTCACGGAAGACTCGTCCAGAACTGGATGTTCTGGCCGTGCCAGAGTGCAGCTAATTCAACTCGTGCCAGATGCCCTTGCCCACGACTGGTCTGGCATCTTGGCAGCAGACTCCATAACTGGAGCATTTCCGCTATCCAAGGGGGAGGTGCTGCTACTTGTAGTTCCGCAAACCTCTTGAACGCGAGGTGAAGATCCTGACGACACGTCGACTCTGGTAGGTGGCAGAAAATTCGCGCCGGTAGTCAGCGAGCAGCGCGTGTCGCCGGGCTTCGAGGGCTCCCCTGCTGGGCTTCTTGGCTCCCCTAAGCTTGGTTTCCTGATGTTTCCTGATTTGACTCTTTGAGAGGCAGATTCATCTCTGAGGTCGTCCATCACTCTCTGCTTCGTTTTCACCCAGGGTGCCCGCGAGTTGGTCGCGACAGACCCAGGGCTGGCAGTGCAGTCACTTGGGCTCCTGTCACTACCTCAGAGTATATTTTTGCTGTGTGCTTGAGGGACGCTGTCGCTGGCCATAGCAGTGGTCCAGGCGTGGATGTTTGCGTGAAGTTCTACGACATGCTGGAGATGGCAGCGGGTACGAGTGCCAGGAGGATGAGGGCGCCTTCATGCGCCTCAGCTTCTACACTAATCTACGCTTCTTCCATCCTGATCAATTTTAGTTTTCGTTTAAGGTTTGTATAGATTGGCTTACATGTTAGCGTTTTCCAGAAGCTGCTCATGGCTTCGTGCGTTTGTGGATCCTTCGATCTGCCTGCAGCAGCCTTTGCCACGGCAAAGAAGCTGTCAGTACAGATCCTTGTGCTTCTTTACGGTGACTTTGGGGGACTGATCCTCGGTTCAGCTGTTGCGTTGGCAGCCTTCGATTGACGCTCGCAGACGTCCTTGCAGCAGGCTGGCTTTCGGCAGCATGCTGGACGCGGCGGTCTTCTCAATACTGTTGCAGCGCAAGCTACCGCAGCTTCCGTGGCCTGATGAGTTGCGACAGCGAGGAGTGGATTGAAACACTGGTTGGTAGCGTCAGGCTGTTTTTCTATCTTCGTGACGATTGTGCCACTTGTGGCTTGCATCGTGCGCAGTTTTCTTGTTTCCAGTTCATCTTCGGTATGCTTCGAGTAATCACCTTCGGTTCCGAAGGAAACAGGACACGCGATCATTAGGAACTTCTCGTCTTTGTTTTGCGCCCCCCTAACCGGTACGGATTCTTCTTCTAACCTTCCCGACGAGGACAAGAAGAAGAAGAAGTAGGAGAAGTAGTAGTAGTAGTAGTAGTAGTAGCAGCAGCAGCAGCAGTAGCAGTTTTTAGCAGCAACACCTAGCCTGTGTACTTCGAGTTACAACTCACGCTTGTTGTTGCTGGATGGATCCCGGGTC